TTCATTCTTCTACTCACACATTTTTCAATAAAATAATATTTTCCATCACATCAATAACTTTTTCTTCTTTTTCAATCACAAATTCTTCATCAATCTAATATTTCAGAATACATTCTTTCAAAATAATGTGACTCAAACACATCCTAAGTCTTCATTTTGATGGGTTAAAATTGCATTTCGGAACTTGCTGCTTGGCAATGATTAACTTTAAAATTTGGCCACATAGGAATTCTGTACACCACATGTAAATTTTTCGTCGGGTTGAATTAGCGGCGTTGAGATGAGTGATGGATAGTTAACACGGAGAATAGTTGAGGGACCAATGGGATACATTTTAAAGTACAGTTATTACGTAGTAGCTCAGGTTAAATTTCAATGATTATTCAATAATTAACTCGATCCTAATAGGGCCCTTGGGAAAAGGAGCGTGACTTTTTTTTAAAATTATTTTATGTTTAAATATATTCACACCATATTTTTAATAACTATACTACATTTTAATTGTATGAAATGTTCATAATCTTTATACATTATCACATTATGTCTCAAACTTTTTTAATCGTATTCTTATTTTCACATCAACATAAATTGTTCATGATTATGATTTTTCTTTAAAGAAATTTTTTGATATAGAATAAAAGACTCATTTGCCCATTATATTTTTGAAAAAAAAATAATACTTTATAAATGCGATTAAATATTTAACCCTTATTTTAAAGTATATTAACAATATTTTCTAAATGAAATCATAATTAAAAACAAGATTTTCTCATCAATGAAATGTTAAAAATAAAAATAAGATGAAGAAAAAATTTAATAGCCTGGTTGAGCCTATTTTTTGTCTAGAATGTATTTTAAAATAGTAGATTGATGAAAAATGCGTGGTTAAAAAAATAAGAAAAAGTTTTATGTTTACGTGTAATATGATTTTATTGAAAAATTGTTTGTGAGGATCACTGTCACTGAAAAATGATAGATGAGGAGCTTAATGACAAGAAAAATATTGTTGAGGTTGAAAGTGAAAATGTCACTGTAGGTTGGGACTGTATCTGCAATTTACTCATTTCGATTAGCCCTAATTTTCATTAACCAATAAAACCTTCACTTTTTGAGGATAATAATGCCTTCTATAAAATCCAGCAAACTCAAATCTAGGTTGGATTGAACGAACTGAAAGAAATAGATACACTCATAACAGAAAGGTAAATTTTATTGTTATGTAATCGGATTTTCATTTTTGCTTATTCATATGATATGTGCATTTGCTTCTTGTTTATTTTATTTCACTCATGGGAATGATAGTTTTATTTATTCATTTATTTTAATTGTTTTGAATAGATTTCGTTTCTTTTAGTGGCGAAATCTGTGAATATATATAGATGTAGTTTTTGTTGTGGGTCGACGCTGAATTGAATTCAATTATTGTCATGTTCAATTCCATATTATGCATAAATTATTTGTTTTTCTTGTCTTGTTGTTCAGTTGCGTGTGATTCTGGTCCTTGATAAGTGCCCAATCACAATTTTTTCCTTCCAGTATACATACACGTTCTTATTATAAATGCCTAATTTAAATGAATTTGAACTGCCGTATGATGTTTGGGACATTGCGCAAGGGCTTTGAGTTCCATCTGGGCACTGAAATAATAAACATTCGTATCCCTTCTGATGGCAGTATAATTGACCATGAGCCAGGGGCAAGTATGATTCATGTGCCCTTTGTGAGTCCCTCTGTTTTTGTATTCATCCCCGGAATGGTGAGGTTGAATGGCTTATGCGTTCTTGGATTTTATTGCTTCAGCTGCATTTTTTCTTGTTAAGAATGTGTTGGTCAAAGTCGCTTTGTGTCATGTCAATAGTAAGTGTTACAGATCTGCTTCGTCTTAGTGTTTGTTGCATATGTAGGAGTTGGTGACTATTGACTGTTAGATTATTTCACTTTTCATTACTGATTAGCGTTTTGTTGACCTTTCTTCTTCTTTTGCCTAAGACTTTTGAATTCTTGAGGCTCAATTGACAGTGTAAGTACAGGGTTTTGCAAGTTTCTTGGGGTTTCCAGTGTTATTCTACTCACAAAGTGTCTCATGTGTCGTTCTACTCTGTTGGTTTGTGGTAGTATTGGGTTTTATTTTTTGTTGTTCTCTCAACTTCTCTGATTTATGCTCGTTATTGTATTCTTTGGTTACTTAATATACTTCCTTGGGTTGTATCTAATCTATTGTAAAAAAGTTTATTGGTAAAATTAATTAAAATATGCGTGTTGATTTAAAATTGACATATTGATGTCTTGATAATGAAAAGGCCTTTCATCTTTATGTTACAATGTATTGTGTTTAAAGTAGTTCATATTTGGTCCTGGAAAGGGTTGTTTTAATTCTTCTAACAAATCTTAACAAGTTCTATTGTAAATATTTATCTCTACTTAAATGAATTTCCGAAATGCTGGGTCTTTTCCCACTATTTATGTAATTTGATCCTGCATTTTGCACTTTAAATACATTTCAAACCTCGATATTATGAATTCATTCATAATGCTGATGATTTTGCACCTTGCCATATGATATTTGTGTTTTGTGCAAGGGCTTTGAGTTCAATTGACATTTTAGTTGAGAATGGGTAGGTGAAATGGTTTTGTGATATCGCCCATCTGGTGACATCGAAGTTCCTTTATTTTCATCCGCTTCTGCCTAGATAAAGTCCTTTTCTTATTACACTGTAATTACATTTTAGCCCGCAGCATATATAATATTGGTTCAGCATACTGGTGAATTAGAAATGTGCCAAATAATGTTTGGGGATGCTGTAGAAGGGCATTGACTTCAGTTAAAAATATATACTGTCTGATGACAATACATATATTTGCTTCTAACTGTGCATCGCCAACACCAATCAAATCCTTTTTTGCTTTTATAAGATTAATTTAGGCAGCTCTCTTTCTCTCTCTAAACTGGAAAATGGATTTATTTGTCTTTGTTCATTGTCTATCTTCCACAAATTTAGATTTGAATACTGTACAATATTTATAATGGAATAATTCATTATTTAATATCTCGATCATAGTTTTTTCTCATATGCTATAAGCCTTTTTTACACAAGGTAGTTGGTGCTGTTTAAACAGATTTTGAAGCCTGAGGCCAGTTTTACAACTTCAAACTTGAGAATTGTTTCATGTTGGGTTCTTTAATTTACAGATGCTTTTTTGAGAAATGGAATAGGTTTCATATTAGGGGTATTGAGGTGAATAACGAAACAAAAGCAATAGGACTCATTGTGATTTAGATTTGAAGTGATAATTAATGCATGTAGCTTTTTGTGAAGATAAGAATTTGTTATCTTCATTTGATTTTAGGAAAATGATGCATTAAATTTGAAATGTCCTCTTTGGTCTCTACAAATCCCCGCCTTTTTATCTGTCGAGGCGTTTATGCATGCGTGTGGCCAATTGCGTTATTGATGGACATTTGAACATGCTTGCTGCAGCGTCAAAAAAGGAGAAATTTACCTTACTTCAGGATAAAATTGAGGTGAAGAAAGCTTCTTCTGGTGCCAGATGAAATGAAGCATGTTGTGAAGATTATGGCATTGCTGGTGGCTCTATCGGCCCTCTGGATTAGCCTATTGCAGATATCAGTGATCCCAGATAGTTATACTTGGTTGGTGAGCTTCCCACTTGTTCTTTTAATTGGTCTATTCGCTTAACCTTGATTCCGTACCCTCACTGACTGTTGCTTTTGGGCTGCTGCCTACTTGTCTTCTCTCTCTCAGCTGCCTCTCTACTTTATTGTAACGCTTGGTTGCTATGGCCTATTTATGGTTGGAATTGGTCTGATGCAATTTCCAACTTGCCCACAAGAGGCAATCCTGTTGCAACAGGTACCTATCACATTTTTATCTTAAATTCTTTTTAAATCTTTTACTATATGTTGATTATGATGGGTCGAGAGAACGATTCATTTGCTTTTGGTGGTGAGGGTGAGGAAAAACCTTCATTAGCAAAAGCCAAAAGTTCGATGCCCGTTACCTGCTCCCCCAACTCCACCTAGAGTAGTTTGAATATATTTAACTGTTCATTTAACTTTGTAGGATATTACTGAAGCCAAGGATTTCCTGAAGACAAAAGGGGTAGATGTTGGTTCAGATTGATTTGATACATTGATCTCATATAGTGCAAGGGAAGATTAGTGATGGTGCTTATTGGTATTCACAGCGAAAGAATTTCCTTGATTGAGCATTCAACAGGGTGATTTGACTCGAGAAAATAGTGTACGAGTTCTTTTACTCACAATCTTGAACTCTGAGATATATTGTTTCACTTTCTTGTAATGGAGAAGCAAAGTTGTATCGAGGCTTGTACATTTGGTACAAATTGATCAATTAACTGCCTTGGTTTTTTAGATAAGGTCCGGTACTTTAATGAACTAAGTTTCTTCTCTGTCAAGTCGAGCTCATTTTCGAGTTTTGGCCGTACATTGCATGGTTTAGTTAGATAAAATTACTATTATGTCCATTATTTCTTGGGGGATTTTTTATGACGTGAAATCTTTTGGGTGGAGTGGAGCATTTGGATGTTTCTTTCAACATTTTGGAGGGAATTTGGCAATGTTGACCTGGGCAAAGTGTGCTAAGGGTTTGTCGAGAATTGGTTGGACTCCTCTCTTATGTGTGGACATAATTTTTCAATTTGTTGATTTGGATGTCACCCGTCTTCGGTTTACCTAAAAAGAGCGATAAAATTTTAAGTAAAGTCAAGAGTTAATTTTAACCACACATTAATGGGATCCACAACTTTTATCAATTTTTCGATCACAAATTTTATCATTTTTTATCGAGATATCCTTAAAAATTGTTTTTTAACTAAACAAAATAGGGGCTAAATAAACCATTGAAACAGGATACATAGCTCAATAGATGAATCAAGAATTCCACAGAAAAATTATCAAATACTTAGATGCAGTGTGCGCGCTAAAATCCTAAACACATTTCTCGAGCTAATGCTTCAGTCTAGTCGATTAGGTTCTTCAACCTTCGCGCAATCTTCATCAAGTGCCCCTCATTTTTGCTTTCTTCTACTGCATGATTCCCAGTACTTGATTTCAAGAAACAAAGATGATCGACACAAGAAGTTCCATTTCTCTCCAAAGACTTGTAAAGATCAGTAAACAAATCAATAATCATAGGCTGATCCTTAATACCATCAAATTCTTGTGTAAATTTCACCAGAATTGAATCAGCCCTTTTTCTAAAGTGTTCCTTAACAAAATCTTCAAAGTTCTTGGGAGGTTCCTGCAGCACTCTAATCATGATTCCACAAGTTAACTGGAAAGCTTTCTTGATGCCTTTTGACGGTTCTGATTCGTCGATCAACTAGGGTTTTGCACACGTGATCACCCCTTGAATTGCATATAGCACATAAAGAATACTAGACCGTTTAGGGTTCCATTGTGTTCTTGTACATGCACATAATTCATGTATTATACGTCGATATCGATTCTTTAAAATGCTTAGACGAACTTTTCCTTTGGGACGAAGATTCGGGTTCAAATCAAAACCATAAGAATGATAATAAATTTTTGGAGGATGAAAGGGATAATTTCTAGAAAAAAATATGTCAAAAAAGAATAAGCCACAGTGATATCGAGTATTAGGTGGACTTATTATGGCAATCCTCATAAGATCAAACCTGGATTCATAAACTCTAACAAAAATAGAATTTGGGAGTTTTTCCTTCAACAAATTCCATTCTTGTTTAATCTTTTGCCCTAGTGCATGCACCCTACTGGAATCTTTCTGGTGCTTGAAGAAATGATGATCGTCTGGCGGTTCGTGAGTTATATCGAAGTTCTTGAACGAATTGAATCCCGTTTCAAATTCTTCAGTCTCTACTGCAAAATTTCCTGTTTCTGAGCTATCCATGGTGCTGAACAGATTGAATTCATCCCCATCTTCAGTCTCCCTGGAAAATATTTCTGTTTCTGATCTATCAGCTTCGTCATCAATGTATCCGTAAAATTTTCTTGTTTCTGAACTTTCCCTGTCTACGATAAAGATCTCGTCGTCAATTTCTCCTGAATTTGTTGCATCCATGCAATTAAAGATTGCTTCTTCAATTCCTCGAATTGAATATCTTGTTTCTGGGCTTTTAGGGTTCGTGAAATCCATGCTGATTAAAGTGACCCTGTCACCCTGACAGCTTTTTCCAGAATATCAACAGCATGGAAAGTAAAGCACTGGATAACATAATAAGGGATTGCGTAAATTATAGTATAGATCCTCAACCTTTTCAAAAAATATTAGTTTCGTCCCTTCATTTGTTTTTGTAATCCAAACATCCCCAACAATTAGCAGAAATCAATCAGAGACTCGTTAGATTTTCATCTATTAATCCATTTTTTGATTTAGAAATTTAAAAGGGCAAAATAATCTTTCTACCTTTAACTGAAATATTTTTAAAAATAGCAATTTAATAAGGGTGATTGGATTCACACCAAATTTTTTAATAAATAAACTACATTTTAATTACATTGAAGGTCATTAACCTTTATTCATTATCACACCTACATGCTTTAATTTTTTCTTCATCGCATTCTTGTTTTTAACATTTTATTAATATTAATCAGAGAATTGTCCTTAATAATGATTTTCATTCAAAAATATTGTTAACATGCTTTAAAATGAAGGTCAAATATTTAATCGCATTTTTGCTTTATTATTATTGTTGTTGTTGTTGAAACTTAACTTGTATTTGATGGAATTCATATATCAAAATTGCCTCAAAGAATTCAATTCAACCTTGTGAAATCAACTAATTCAAACTCTAAAGTCTCCTTGCCAGATGCCAAATATAAAATTTTCTTTTGAGATTGTACATCCATATTGCCAAAGAAGTGCACCTCTGTTGAAGGAAAGGCAGGGAAACCCACACACATCTTAACAAAGAACAAGGAATTCTGGGATGTGCAATGTGGGACAAGAAATTGTTGTCATGAAGATATTATTAAGGCAGGGAAGAATTTTCAGTGGTAGGTAATGCATTTTACATATACAGTAAAAGAGACGCATGAAAATGAAAATTTGCAGTTACTTTTCTTTTTTTTTTTTCTGCAATTAGAAATGACTTTTTCACTGTGATTCTGAATGTTCATCCCCCGTTAATGGTGGTGGCAGTGGTGGTGGTTGTGTGGAGGTGCTGAGAACGGGGCTTCAAGTGATCACGATACCAAGGTGTGAGAATAGACTCACTAAACCGAATCTGATAATCCACTATCTATCAGAAAATGTCGCGTCATCTGCCCTAATAGGGGCTCTTATATACTAAGAAACGAATGAAAATGAGCGGTTGAATGGATAAACACAATTGTCAAGCTAAATATATATTAGTGGGGAAAAATCAAGTGATTAAAGGGTCATCTTCGGATGCTGAGAAACCATTACGTCCTTGGTCACCATCCCAGTCATTGTTCTGAGGTTTTCCGCGTAAGCCTGGCCCTGTTCTTCTTTGGCTTTCTGCAGATTCAAATATCACGATCAAAGGTTGAAATACCTAGAAATAATGAAAGAAAATTTACATGTCTATGAGCTTACTCTTGCTAGTAATTGCTGAACGAGTTACGGCTAAAAATTCTTCCCACTTAAATTTCATAAGTTCTTGCTTTTCCTCCTCTGATAGTTCAAAGTTGGGCTCCCTCCCACACATGAATGCAGCCCTGAAAATGTGAAAATGTCATCTTGAGATCCGGTTTCTAATTTTACTTTATTATATGAAGACTTTAAAATTTGTACGCCAAGCACATAATCGTTCTTGCTAAAACATAGAGAAAATGAAGACCTTAACAACAATTGGACAAAACAGTAGTTAACTGAAGCAAAACATTATTTAAGCAGTGTCACAGTACGAGAGAACAAAACTGGTACTATGCATTTAAAACGCGGTAATCATCCTAATATTATTGTTAAAATTGTCATAAGAGATCATCGGTTGTGAGGGAACCAAGATTTCAGGTTTGCGAAAAGGAAGAGAAATTGTTGTTTCTGTAACAATAACCAGTAAGATAACTTCTACTGTCAGAAATAATACCTGTCATACAATCGGGCAGCCTCTTCTTGAGAGCCAACAGTTCCCAGGTGGATTTGTTTCTTGTCAACTTTAATTGCAGCTTGCCATTTCATGTTCTTGAAATAGACCCCTCTCATGATGCATTGTTCTTGGTTTTCAACATGCTTCCTCCTGTGTCGCTTTCTGCGTTTGAACTCTGAAATAATGGTAAGGAGTGAGTGAGATCAACAGAAAAGCCAGTAAAGATATAAATATATAAAGGTAATCTTTTACGACACCTTCACTGATAAGTATTTCAGAAATGAAGAAACACCTTAGTTTATAAAAGCTTAATAAGATTAATTGTACACACAAGAACATTGAATGAAATGAAAAAATCACTTGTCCTAACTGATGCAAGAATATTATATAATACGAGCTCAACAAAACATTCCGTGTCTTCTGGTAAACGTAGTATTTGTCCACCAATTGGTAATTTTCTTGACCAACTCAGTTTTAAAGGTGGGTAACATGTGAGATCTTCAAGGATGGTTTTGGAACAAACTTGTACACATTGATCACTAATAAGTAAATAGGAGCCACCTGGCAGTTCAAGCAAACAAAATAGAAGGCTTACCCAGTTCAATATATTCCTGAAAATCAAATAAAATTTCCCACTGGCTATTTAAGTTAACCTTTTAGAAATGCATTCATAGGAAAAAAGAACCATCCAGAGTTATAGTTATTATTCCATAACTTGTTTCATAGCCAACCTTCTATTTTTTCGCTACGATATGGTGTAACATTCAGGCCATTTGTATTTCTGAGCATCTTGGAGATCTATGAATTTTTCCATCATCAGCACGACATTATAAGAATTTAGGCGCACGGCTACATACATAGCTAACGCATCAAAGAACTCTGTTCCATTCTCCAGTAACAAAAGATCAATATTATATATAAATGTAAACATATTAAATGTATTGAGGTACCCAGTAGAATAGGTAGAATTTCAAGACATGAAAACAAGTCAAAGGCTTAAAAGAACATGTGAACATGAATGAGAATAAACCTGGAAATGGCTGGAAAGGCTCCTCTTTCAATGGACTAGAAGCAGAAACTTTTGACAAACTGGGGCCAGTTTCTGAGGCAGTTTTCTGACCAACAATAAAAATCAAAAGAAAAAATTCACTCAATATATATAGTTACAGAATTAAATGCAGACATAGCAAAACAGATATTATAAACTAATATAGAACTCAAGATAGTAATAATACGTGCTGGAGAGACATGTTCATGTGTGCAACGTAATTGAATTCCAGATAATCAACTAATGAAATATTCTAATGACCAACACAAATTAACAAAACTTGGTTGTTTAAATGAAGAACAGGGTCATCAGAACCATCATATGTAACTTTCTTATTTTCTAGAGAGACTATTTACATGGAAGAAAAGGTACAAAAAAGTGAAAAACCATTGTCGACTAGGAATATTACTACAAACCTCCCAAAAAACCACTGCACGGAGAAATTCTGCAGATAAAAATCTATAATTAACTGATTGAATTTTTGTTACGGATGAAATGTATGTGAAACTAGTCCTCTTTCTTGTTAGGTACGCAGTCTGCCTGTAAGAACAGAAGTACAATGTTGTTGAAGCCAGAGATAAAGCTAAATGGGAATGTTTTGTTTCATAAGACAGGTTATTTGTCAGGAATAATATTCAGGCCTCTCTAATTGTTAACCTCCTCGTAGACTGAAATAACATCTTCATAAGCCACAGGAGACTTGAAATTCAAGAATTATTGAATTGACTTTTCCACTATAAAGCCAAATAGCTGAATTATAAGTGTAGAAAACTAAATAATTTTACAATAAGCTAAGCCAAATCAATAATAGATAAGCACGATTCAAAAATTCTATTAAGGGCGTGTTCGGTAGAGATTAAAATCGGATTAAAATTGAAAAACTAGCCATTGATGTTGACTTTTATTAGACGAATGAGACCCAATAACGGCTATATTTTCAATTTTAATTGAATTTTAATCTTTACCAAATGAGCACTAAGTTGGAAGAAACTTTAATGGATCTATAACCTCCAAAACAGAACCACTTGTGACCACTTAAGTTTAGACCAGGAAGATACTCCACATTCAGCCTTCCTAGCAAAATTAATTAAGCTTGGAGTAAAAAGTCTACCTTGATTGCCTCTAATCTCTAAAGCACGCGAGAGTGAGGAGAATTCCAAATTTGTAGCATTCAAATTACAGGGGTTTTTTCATAGGAAAAAGTGGGGATTGGCATTTATAGAGATGCTTAAAGGGGTTTATTTTAGTATGGCAACAAAACTATAAACGGTTTTCTTAATTTCTTCTTACAGATACTTCAGAATTTAGAAAAGTGAAAACTCCGTTCTTGAATGATTATGACATGACTCAATGTTCATGAGAAATCAAAGCTATTATATAACATTTGGAATATTTGGATATGAGCTAATTCAGTTCAAACTTTAAATATGATGGTCCCACATTTCATGCACGCCAAATAATCATGAAATAGACAGCACACAGAACAAGGTTAACACAAGTTAGTGATGCACAGGAAGAAAGAGAAGCGCTTACGTCCTTTGGTAGGTCAATATCATTTGAAGGCACAGGATGAACACTGATCGGTTTTGAGTTATCCACACAGCTTTCAGAAGTATGTCCATTCTCAGAGGACATGGGAAGAGGATCCAGGAAACAATTTTGCCCTACATAATCGTATGAAGGAATATCATTGAAGCTAAGAGATTTTAAATAGGCCAATGTTAAGACAGAAAAAAGAAGATCGTTATTCATATAGAATTCTCCAAGAAGACCAGTATAAAATATTTGACAGTCAAAATGCAAGCTTATCGGTATAACATTCTTAATCATTAACCAAATACATTTTAATTTGGTGTACCAGAGCAAAGTCCTAACAGTCTGCGCCTTCGAATGCTCACCATGGCTGTTTTGGTAATCCTAATAAGCAGCAGAGTAAGTTAGATAATCGCTCATAATTTCAGAAAGAAAAGATCAGAATGATACTTACACCATTAAAAATATACAAAGAAAGAAACAAAATATCATGGAGTGTTAGAGTGGCAGAAAACTAGAACCTAATGCAGCTTTCAGAAGGCCATTCAGAGGCAGGAAACAACAAAGAATATATGAATAAAGTGATATATATTATTCCAGACAATGAATATTTTCTGACATGAATTATATTATGAGTTTATAAAAAATTTCAGCACTTAGCCTCTTGAATCACCAAAGATCCCTATTTTACATTATACCAATCAAATCCATTGGAAAGATAATCGTTTTATATGTATATGATTAGTTTTCATGTCAGCCGAATACCTGCGTTTTGCTAAAGTTTTGTATAGCATATCATCCAAAAAATGGAGTAATCCTGGGATTATCAAAGCTGGCAAACTATTCAGAACATAATGGAAGACTGTTAAATTTTCGCCACAGTCTAATTAGTTCACAGTGTTTTCAAAGACTCCGTTGACTGACGAACAAGTGCAATAGGATCTTCTATTGACTCAATTTTTACGCCCTCACATTAGTAACAAGACTCATCCCAGAGCAGATAAAGACTGATAGAACATTCAGAAGTCAAGTATAAGCCTTTTTGAAACCAATATAATCTTATAATTTCCTAAAGAATAGTCCAGAAACTAAGATTATACCATCAATTATTCATCTTGTAACGGAATTTCATGCACGGATAATAAATTTCCCATCTTTTCCAGAAAATCAAAGGTGACAAACCCTTATACATAACTGAAAGGTGCTAAAATTCTGACAAGCAACATATGTAATTTGCCAAAACAGCCATCAACTCATGAAGAAATAGAATTGCAAGAAATCTACATAAATGCCACAAACAATTCCTATTTCAAGAAAACCCACAAAACGAAAGAGGAAAATCAAGAAAACCCCAAAATCGCCGACACGAGAAACACGCAGTTTTTCATCATAAAAACAAATGCCCAACCCCCGAAACCCACATATCAACTTGTACAGTTAATAACCCAAGACTAAAAGTCAACCAATGAAGACAAAAAAAAATAAAAAATTGTATGAACACCCAATATCACGAATGCCATAACGAAGAGTTGGACTTGTCTTGACAATACCTGGAAATCACAAGGCAAAAAAACAAGAGAAATTATACTATGATTTTGGTTCGTGGAGTTCGAGGAGAAAATCAACTACGAGAATTCTGGGGGTGGGGTGGTTTTGATCAGTGGATTATGAAGGTAAGGTGGTGAGAATACAGAGAGAGAAGATTTACACTTTCATCTACCACCTTTTGCATTATTTTCACTGCCATTATGTGGGGAGGGTGGTGGTTTTGGGTGACAATCGGTGTAGAGAGAGAATGGTTGAATAAGAGAAGGGCAACGTATGCAATGCTTCTAATCTTCAAATATTGTGGATCTTAGGTATATCGAGTACAAACAAATTTACTATAATGCCATAAATAATTATTATTGAGCATATTTATTCTTTATATCAAGTACAATTAAAGAATTAATTCTATTTATAGTAATAAGGTAAAGAATTAGCCCAATCAAATTTTATTTAAATTAAGGTAACAGTTTATGAAATATATGGTCGAAAAATTGTAAATTCTATGAAATATGTGAATAAAATTAATTATTGATTTTGAATTTAATAAAAGTTTAAAATTTAATTCCTACCAAACACGTTTCTAAAAGTAAATTAGATGTTTACTTCCATGGACATATATCGACTAACCTCAAATGAGTTTCAATTTCAAATAAGAGTGTACAATAGTTTGAATCGACGGACATGAATATAACTTCTAATGAGAAATATAGTATAAAGTTAAGTTATGAAATTGAAAAATATATATATATATTTCAAAGTTAAGGACCAAATAAATACGTTTATCCATTAAAAACAACACGCTTATATTTATTTGGACCACGATGTTGGTAGTCAACAACTGGCTCATAAATTATAAGCTACGAGTTAGTGCTGAACAATGAAATCATCGAACAATAAAATTGAACTGAAACCGTTGGTTTGGATCTACGTGGATCCGTCAACAATTTGATTTTGAATCAAACCAAACCGTTTCGAACTGATTTGATTTAGGTTTCAATCTTTACAAACCTTTTGAAAATATAATATGAAAATAAACTAATTTATATTTTATCCAATTTAATTAAAACTAAACACATCCCAATTAAAAAGATCCAACTAAAGCCAATACGCAATTATACAATTATTCATTAAACCATACATTCATGTGGTTGAGACGGCGATTTACCTAAAAATTGGTTGCGGAGTAACAAAAAATCTATAGTTATTTGTCAATATTTATTATTGATTTACAAAAAGTTGTAGAATGCATTATAGTAAAATATTCTATCATATTGTTCCATTGTAATAATTAGATGCATAGAACTTTGGATTATAATATTTTTAAATGATTATATATATGGTTCAACGTGATACTGGAGACTAATATTCATTATTTAACTTGTTCAATGTATATTATTAAATAGTGGTTTTTAAATCGAACCAAACCGAAAAAAATGGCTGTTTTGAAAAAATTTCAAACTGCTTTAAGAAGTTTTGTTTGAAACTTTGTTACAAATCGTCAAAATTGAACTGTGTTCACACATACTATAATGCATTCTACAACTTTTTGTAAAATTTTTTTTATTCTTGTAGAAATTTTTTTGATGAAGTCACTTTGAATCAACTTTTTCTAAAATTTTTCGAGTCAGAACTCAGACAAAGCACTTTTAAAAAAAAATCCAAACAAGTCAAAAAGCAGTTTTCTAAGCTTAATTTGATAACGTTGCACTTTTAAGAGAATCGGTTGAATACCGAAGAAAGAATCAAATAAATATTTGACAAAAATCATTATTTTAAAATTCTAGTATGTCTCAAAATTAACATTTGAGTGTTTGATAAACAAAATTAATTTACTGTTTAGTATACCATAAATAAAATGAACGGTGATTATAATGATATTGTTTTTATATTATTATCATTATTAGTAGTATTTCAAATTTTTGAATTTTATAATGCATTTTGAAATAGTATTTTGATGGAGAATATGTGATTAAAAAATAAAGAAAAAATTCTGATTTTGTATGTAATATTATTTTAATAAAAAATGTGCGGTTGAAAATAAAAGAGATAAAAATATATTTTAAAAATAATGGGGACCAAACAAGGGTGGTGTATCTCAAATTTTGAATTAAATTTATTATTCATTGATAATTAATGTATCATGTACTAAGTATCGATGATATGACACATCAATTAAATGATGAATATATATATCAAAAACTAAATGATTCATCAATTAATTGATGCGCGTAAAATTGTGGATGAAACAATAATTGATTAGTTAAATGATCTTCTATTCTTTTCTTAAGAAAAAAGAAAAGAAAGGATGAACCCCAATTTTGAGGGCCTCGCCCCTAGAGCATTGTGGAGAAGGTAGATTGCGGAATGTGTCTTAGCAGGCTAGGGTACAAGAGCTGACATACTGGTACCCACAAAGAGTTCAATTTCATACCTTATAAGATGCATGAATTGAATTCTCACATTGCGATTACCAGTTCAGTTGAGACTACCTCACTCATGTCCTTTGCACAATTGAACTATGCCTCGAAAGGTCTTATATTCTTTTCTTTTCTTTTCTTTCTTATGTAGTACACTGTATCAAGCATAATGTCTCCATTTGGTAAATTTATAGATGATTTGTAAAGAGAAATAACAGTAGATTCCATGAAATATATTGACAATAAATGAAAAGTAATTAAAAATATATAATTACAATTAATATTTGACTTTATTAATTATTTATGAATTAATATTAAATAGAGGCAATAGAGTTCATGAAATATATAAAAATGAAATTGACTTGCCAAGACGCAATTTGCAAGGATGTGGAATTTAATGGCTCGTAGAGACCAAAGTTTCCTTTGACTGAGTTTCGATTCACAAAGTCAATATTGAACTACTGGCCAATCTTGTCGTAAGTGTCTCAACACGAGCATCAATCTGAAACAAATAATAAAGTCGAGGGTTTAGAGTATTTTCGAGAGATTCTCTGTAAAGAATATTTAATATAATAGATACTATATTTAAGTATGAAGAATAAATTTTTTATACATTTCTCTCTATTTTAATTCTTCATTTGATTCTTTCAAAAAAATATTTATTGATTTCTCTTTATCTTTTATTTAACATATATTTTATATGGAATGATGCTATTGATACATGCCCTGACAACTTACATGGCCAAAAGGCTCTGTACGTATGGAATAATCATTTTATACGTTAATAGTCAATAAATTTAAATATAATTTGAATAATTTAAGAAGTGGAGTATTGAAATATATAGCTTAATAAGCCCATATTTGTCTACTATTATTTCAAAACTATTTTTTTCTTAAACTCGTTTTCAATCACGTTATCACAATAAAATATTTTACACATAAATTCAATTTTATTTTACTTTTTAATTATATATTCTTCAAAAATTCACTATTCAAAAACTAATTTTCTTTTCATAATGTTAGACAAACAAGGGCTAAATACAATTATTATAAAGTAAAAAAAGAGAGTTGGATAATCAACCACACTTTTTATTTTAAAAAGTCAAAATAAAGATTCTCTTCAAACTTATTTTTAAGCATTGTTTCTTTAGATTAGAGATCATCTTGTATTTAGAAAGTTTTTTTTTAGATATTCTTAGAAACATTAAAAAAAAAAGTGAATTTAAATAACGAATGTTAAGCCATCTCTAGTGATACACCAAATTTTGCACCAAACTAAAATTTATCTCCAACCATTACAGCAAAAGTTACACCAAATGAACAGTGTTTAATCATTTTCGTGTCTTTTTTTATTCTTAGTAATTTATTTATTCGAAATATTATTTATTTTTTATTTTAGAAAT